AAACAGATTTCAAATAATTTGAAAGACTCACTGCCGGTACGAAGACTTTGTGATGTAATTATTTCCGGAGTCGCAAGCGGAGAGTGAATAAGGTGTCGCTCGACTTGTAGAATTGAATTTTCTAACTGGACCGTAAGACGAGGTTGTGTTAAATAAATTGTTAGTACACTCTCCAGAACCTCGGTTTAAAACCTCAACTACTCCCTTCCTTTCCTCGCTTCCCATCATTTCCGACACGGAACAATTCATGTCCGGTTCAGGAAATCCGTGCCTCGAGGTGCCTGGAACAGACACGTCTGCTATAGTTCTATTAGACACCTGCACGTTAGAATTTAATTTCGTACTACTGTCCAGTCCTTGGTACGTACATTTTGAAACTGATTCTGACCACACCCTTTGATTGCGACGACCCTCGGATTCCATTTTCACCCCACAGTTACTGTTACTGTGATACGACATGGTAGATTTCAAGAAGTTGATCTCGTGACAGGCTCTGTCTACCAATTTATCGTACCACTTGACAACATTTCCAAGTCATTCACGAGGTTTCCTGCTCACGGCACGCGCCAGGCTTCTGACGTTACGTTCTGTTTCCGCAGAGTGAGGAAAGGTGGTAAGGTATTGGCTGGAATTAGTCGAGAGGAAGTCGAGGGGAAGGCAGAACGGGAAATCTCAACATTTGCATAAACAAAAAAACATTTGATAAAATATATGTTATATATAATGAAGACAATATGAAGTATGAATTTTCTATTTTGGAATTTCTGAAGTAAATCTAAATTTATGTTTTAAAAATCTTTGTATATTCGGAGTAAAAACTAAATTTTATTTTAATTTTCAAATTTAAAATAAAAACTATCGTCAAAAGAAAAACTTTTTTTTGTCGTAAAATCAACATAACTGACTTAAAGTTAGTCTAAGTGCGAAATATATGTAGATTTTCACCACCAGGGTGAACGTTCAATAAACTTTTCTAATCCACAGTTTCATGCTGGTGTTTTTCCACCATTCTCGGGATTATGTCATGTAATAACTAATAGAGCCCAATTTCTCTATCCGTTTTCACAATGAAAATTTGACGTCTGATTCGACTACAATTCATTTGGTTAAAACAATTAATTGTATGTCTTCCGATGATTGAAATACAAACATTTCGCTAGGTCTGTTCACACAATAAGAAAACCGGTTCGTCTACAATGCAATGGTAAAATATTCCTTTTAAAAAAGGAAATTATCAAAAAAAGCACCCAATTATCTTCAATTCTACAGACTTCTGAATCTTTTATTAAAATGGAAATATACAGTAATGTTCTCTTACAATACAATTGATAACATATTAGACAGCATTCCTTTAAATGCGCGGAAATGGAAATATGACGTCTAGTTCGACTACAATACAATTAAAAATATATTAGACGACCATATTTCTTCAAGAACGCGATTAGTAAATATCTCATGAAAAATCTAAATTATATTAAATTAATCTGAATTCTGAATCTTTTATTAACATAGAATTCTGACATATAGTTCGACTACGATACAATAGTAAAATATTTGACAACATTCTTTTAAATTAAGTTACGTAATTAGTAGATATATCATGTTGAATCTCCGTTTTATCTTAAATTCAATTATATTAAATTAAAATTAAAATATGGCGTCTAGTTCGACTGTAATACAATTGATAACATATTAAAACGAGCACATTTCTTTAAGATCGTAATTAGTAAATATAGCCTGATGAAGTCCCATGTTATATTAAATTCAATAAGATTTCTGCATCTTTTATTGAAATGGAAATATGACGTCTAGTTCGACTACAATGAAATAGGATGATCATATTTCTTTAAGAACGTAATTAGGAAAGATAGCATGCCATGGCATCATTTTATTTTCTTGTAAAACAAGATGTTTAATCTAATCAGAATTCTGCTGAGTTTGAAATTAACCATAATCATTAATTATTTATTTCATTTTAATTGCTAATCACATAAAAACTATATTTTTTCATAAAACTCGTATTTAATCTGAACGTTATGACAATACCAGCACGCACGTGCAAGTAAAGGTGTCTAAATGAATAACTATACCAATAAATTTAATCAGTTATGTGTCGAGGCATGAAGATCCATCATGTGTGCTGGAAAACTAAAAACATTTAGGCTCATATCCCGCCAAAAGTTATCACAAAAGTGGAAAACTATAAATGCATGTCCCGCCAAAAGTTATCACAAAAGTGGAAGACTATAAATGCATGTCCTGCCAAAAGTTATCACAAAAGTGGGAGACTATAAATGCATATCCCACCAAAAGTTATCACAAAAGTGGAAGACTATAAATGCATGTCCTGCCAAAAGTTATCACAAAAGTGGGAGACTATAAATGCATGTCCCGCCAAAAGTTATCACAAAAGTGGAAGACTATAAATGCAGGTTCCGCCAAAAGCGATGACTCTTGAAGGAACTCAGATTCACTACAAGCATCAAAGACGTAAAAGGGGAGTCTCATTTTCTTAGTAGGTTGAAAAATTATGTACTCAAATTAACGAAAGTTATAGATAAAAAACTAGATGTAGATGTGTATATTTTGCCATATCTGAAAGTTTCACCAAAAATTATTCCGTAAAGAACGCTACAACTATCAAAAAAATATTCGTTAGCCTTTCACAGTCCGTATGGTTTTTGGTTGGTGTTGGAAATCTCATTATCAAAAACGTCGCAAATTATACCTGAAAATATTTTTAGAATATGCTATTTACATCTACGTATCTACTTGATCAAACTGAATTTATTTTATGTTTGATTAAAAACGGAGTACACTAATTGTTAATTAAGCAGTTTAACATTCGTGCTACAAAAAAAAATAAAGAAAGCGGAATTGTTAGGAAATATTTCTCATATTTTGCTTACGTAACAATAAATACACTAATTTTTAATTAACCCTTTTAACACAAATTCTGGTTAATTAAGTAGATACATAGATATAATTAGCATACTTAAGAAATATTTTCACGTATAATTTACATCTTTTTTAAGAATGAAAATGAATACTGCCCTTTTAAACCAAGGAGTTACGAGATAAAGTTTTTTTTCAAGAAGAAGCCTATTGTCACTAGAGGAAATATATCATAATCTAATCTATTATAATATACCTCAATACTATAATGAAATATTTCCGAATATAGGAAACGACAAGTGAAATTCTTCCTTCCGGTACAGACTAGTATTAACTCCCGCCATTTCTAGGTCGTTAACAACACGCCCTCTAGCGGTGTTAAATATTTAAATAGATTTTAATGGAAAACTGATTATGTTCTTAAGTTTTGTTAGTCAGGCGACCGTTAGAACTTCTCTTGTTCTCAAGCTAATTGTCTTTTTGTGAGATTGGTCGTTAGATTTGACACGATCCGTCATATTTACTGGATTTTTTTATGACAAAAACATAAGGACTTCGTCATTTATTCAGTTTGTCGTGATCAATTGCGTTTACACACCAATAATACTATTGAGACCAACGTTTAATTCTTAAACATACCTGAATTAATCGGCACATTCTTCTTCTTTAAATAAAAGACCCCAGGGTCCATGTTCCTAATACAAGAAACAAGATAAGGCCGGGCATGTATCTTTGCAGAGTTTAATCGAAATGAATATTGTACATTTGTTCATTGTAGGAACAGGTCAGGGAAAAACCCAGGTCATGAGATCGAACCCTAAAATTGTTGCATAAAAGATAGGATATACCTCGGAAATTATAAAAAATTTAAATTGTAATAAATTTAAGTGTTAATGCGGATAACCTTTCAGAATCGCAAAGTAAGTTATCATGGAAATTTAAGACTTTGGGATCGCTGACAGATCAATGGTCATCATACACTGTATTCGATATTTCCTTAAATCTTTACAGACCTCATTATGGCATCAAAGCAGCTGTAAATTTCACCACATTTAACTTATTATTAGACTAATCAAATATTAAATATTCATTCACTGCGGCCCTTTTTCTCCATTTCCGGTAATGACATCACGTTATAATTGAAATGGAATTAATGAGTGGTTGAATTGCCAGGTGTTTATGTTAAAGATTTTCTGATTGGCTGCACAAGTTAAAATGTAACTAAACGAGAGTAATTGATTATTATAAATACAGGCGGGTTCAGACTAGTAAATAATTACAGAGAGAAAAAAAGAAGGCAATATCGACAAATTGTCAATCTGACCAGTATACAGTCCAAAACACGCTATAAATCAGGTTTTTTTTTCTTTCTGTTACCCCTTGTAGGATCCTTGATCAACTGCATTATTAAGTTTTTGGATATTTTTTAAGAGAATTGGAATATCGGCCTCAAGCATTGATAGTCACAACACAAGACAATATTATGGGATATAACACACTTCTTTAATAAGGTTGGGCACATAACGTTTCAACACAATATCAGATGTAATGGCAAGAGAATAAAA